AACAACCTATAACTATAATTTTATTAAGATGTAATTTTAAGTTCATAAATTAGAGATTGTGACATTTTCTTTTGGATCTAAGTTTTCTTGTCATTAAAATTCTTCACACATTAATAAAATTCTTCTTAAACCTCTGATTTAAATCAGTAAACAAAACAAATATGGGCAGAGTATTCCAAGAGTATTTCGTCAGCCCATTTGGAACAATGAAACTCCTCGTGACTGTGATTGCATTTCACACTAGCCATGCTCTGTATAAATTCATTGCGAATTCCATGAAAAATGCGTCCGATATAGTATATTGTGTTTGCTTCACTAATCCAATGCAACGTCGTTCGTCGCTCCGAACGATGTCACACTGCGTTGTTTACCCTGGCGCGTTCAGGCCCTGCGACATAATGAAAACAACGCAAAGCTGAAACAAAACACGACTCCCGCCACGAAATTCCCTCTTCATACTTGCGCGGCACGAAAATAATCTATAATCAATACAAACTGTTGCCAGAGCTGCAAGTTCCCGCGCGTAATTCCTCTATGCGTCTGGCACCTCTGCCAGTTGTCGAGCAGCTATTAGAGAGTTTTTGTGCAGCGTCAACTACATAAAGACGCGCGAATAAACTGCCAATATAAAGACGCCAGACATTCTCGGTTTGGTAAAAACCGAGTTGCATCCTTGGGACTGTTAATTCAGTGACAATTTTTTTTTGCACTCAGAATTTTGAGTTTAAAACCTGTAAATCCTTGCTAAAATGTAAATGAAGGTTTTGAAAATTCGAAGTAAATATTTTTACTTGATTTTGAACGTTGAAAATCGCAAAAAATATGTATATGGGAGGAATTGAAAAGCGGCATTTAATATATAGCAGCGAAAGAAACATAGAATGAAAATGGCATATCGGTTTTCCGATTATCCGTGGCTTAGTTTGGTTCGGTGAGCTTAGTGAAATGCTTAGATGATGCCTTGCTTGGCTTTCGAACGATAAATATCATTTTTCTATCTCCCGTAAGAGTCATATACACAGTTTTGTTTACTTTGTCAACGTTATTCGATTATCATGAATTTTTAAAAGATTCATTAAAAAAATTGTAGGGTTTTATAGGTCTTAAAGAAAATGATAAATCCTGAATGCGAAAACGCTTTTTTCTGAATTATCATTTCCAAAGATGCAAATTTTATGAGGGGAGAAGGGACTGTGAATGAGTGTACTATGACGTCTCGTTGAACTAATGGTGATGAAAATGATAGTAATGTAATTTTTTTCGCAATCGCGGTATCAAACCGTAAGACCTGGTCATAAGAGTATTTGCAGAGAAAAATGTCGAAGTGCCTCAAGTAAATGCAAAGAAAAAAGGATTAAATATCAAGGAATGGCCGGTAAATACTCAGTCAATATACACTACAAAAATGTGAGCAGTTAAAGAAATGTACCAAATGACATAAGAAAATGAAGTATGATATGATTAATTTCCTGACATTGGCAAGTTTGTTATGAGGCAGTTCTATCACAGAATCATTTATAATAGTTCTCATCTACTCACCTAAGACTGTTGAGTACGTGCTAAGTGCAGATTAGCTATTAGTGCGTGCTAAAGTAGAACAGAGTCGTTTGATTCTAAAACGGAAATTCTATGCATTTTGAATATAGATTAATTGGTATTTCAGATAATTCGAATTGTTTCCAGCTCCATTTCAGTTCGACGAGCTCAAATTAAAGAGTCTACTGCAATTCCATTCCCGATGCAGCTGTTTGTTTATTTTATGCAGATAAGGATGAAAATTACATCTTGAATCTCAAAAACCCATTAACATTCATTAACATTCACTAACACATCAACGAAATGCTTCAAGCACATTCATGTTATGGTACGAAAACGAGATCTATGACAGGCACCCCAAGTGGCCCAAACAGAAACCGTAATGTCAAACAAATTGCTGAAATCGGAGCATAAATTTCAGATATGATCGAGTAATTATGGTCTTACAGGACAGGTTATAACCATGATAATTTATTTGGAATGTTTATTTGAGAGGTCCAACTAGTGACAATAACAATTAGAAAAATTGAGGGAATCGGTTTCGTTTTGTTACATTAGATACGATAATATGTAGTATATTCTATACTTCTATACAAGAATATCACTTCTTTTCCGCTTCCAATTGCGCTGGATGTGGCCACTGAAAAGAAATATTTACGTATCTTATTGAAAAATTAATTGGTCAAATATACGAAATATGGTCATAAGTGAAGGTGAAAGTTTCATTGAGGTGGGCGTTTGAGTGAATTTACTTTTGTGTTATATTGTAGTTAACTTCAATTTTATATCTATTTTTGTGTCAAATTGTAGTTAACTTAAATTTTGTTTTTCTATATTAATTGGCAAAACGTTTACTTTCCTCATTAATAAAGAATATTGCTCTTATCCTCGTTCAAATATTGCGCAGCCGAGTAATGTGTCGTTTCAGCAGTTAACAAAATATACAAACTTGTATACATTGTGTTGTTTTGTGACTTGAAAACCAAAGTTACTTAGATTTCGTGACCATGAATTAGTATGTTATTAATGAAAATTATGACTGGCGTTAAAACTAGGTATAATGTTGAGACATTTTGAAGAAAAGGAGACAAAAATTGATTTAAATAAGTGATTTAAAAAATAAATATTTAAATATCGCCTTGAACCAATAATTTATGTTAGTTGATATATATCAAACGATTTAAATCCTCGCTACCCTATCTCCCAATGATTCTATTTGGAAGTGTTAATGGAGCTGGAGAGGGAGCACTGGGAACTGATCGGCGACACCCTATTCGCCTGCGCAGACTTCACGAGCGTCAACAGCTTCCAAGACGAGGTGAAGTTCTCGTCGTCGTTCTACAAGCTGACGCCCCCACCGCCTCCGGCCGCGCGCCCGCCGCCCTATGACAAGCACCCGTACACGCCCACCAAGAGCCAGG